ATAAATGCATAGGGTGATATTTGGGTTCTTAGTTTAGAAAATAGGCCACTCTATGTACCCTCGAATAGAGAAATTTAATTTATTAAATGTGATCATTATATTTTAAGCAAAAAAGGTCTTTGTATTTTTAAAAAAAAAAACTCAATGTGACAATCGTATTATTTTTTTCTCAATGTGACCCTCCAATTCAAAAAGCAAACTCGTTGTTTCTCTTTGAACAACGTTTTTTGTCGTTGACCGTTATAATACTGTGTTAGTTCATGGTGTTGATGTGGCGGTCCACGGTGTCGACGTGGCAGTCATATGTCAAGTTAGAGTTATCAATTTAGCCCATCTACCATGTTATCTGCAACGTTAATCTATCACCTTGGACTACCACGTCTGCACCTTAATGGTCAACGACGAAAAAACTTTGGTCAAAAGAATACATTAGGTTTATTTTCTAAGTCAGATGACTAAATTGAGAGAAAAAAATAATACGAGAGTTATAATAATGTGCTAGTTCATGGTGTTGATGTAGCGGTCCAAACCCACGACCAACCATAAACCCCTAACCAGCACATAGAAAAAAGCAAATTCATTGTATCTCTTTGACCAACGTTTTTCGTCGTTGACCGTTATAATACTGTGCTAGTTCATGGTGTTGATGTAGCGGTCCACGGTGTCGACGTGACAATCATCTGTCATGTTAGAGTTATCAATTTAGCCCATCTACCATGTTAATCTGTCACCCTGGACTATCACGTCAGCACCTTAATGGTCAACGACGAAAAAAGTCAAAAGAATACATTATGTTTATTTTCTAAGTCAGTGACTAAATTGAGAGAAAAAATAATACGAGAGTTATATTAGTTTTTTTCAAAAATAAGACATCCGATGTATTTTTGGCTGTATTTTATAAAAAAATAACAATTTATCAATTCGAATCCAATAATTAGAATATTTGAAAATCGAAAAGAAAGAAGGAAAAAGGTGTCATGAGCATAAGAAATATGAACCATAATTTTTAGTCTATGGTGATTTTAAGTTCACAGTTCCGTAGTTGTGCAGTCGACACGTGTTGATGTAGCAACAAGAATCCAGGTTGCTCAGACACAACTGTTTAAGACAGGTTGTAAACCCAAGAAGGAAAGAAGATGTTCCATCGAGTTTACTAACCAATCATAGCTCGACACGTTTCCTAATCCAAAATCACTGTCTCCTTGACTGTGATTGCATCTGCATGCTTTTTTTTCCTCAACAAAATAAAGAATAAAGAACAATCACAGTGTCACACAAACTAGTTGATGATAGACTTTTGCGAAAATAAAACATAAAGAAATAGAATTATGTTAATTTTGTTTCCCATCGATGTTCGGATTGGCTAAAATACATGCATTAACACAGGTTGGTTTAAGTGATAAATAATTTAATATCACTTGAATATATTTATAGTTCGAGTCTTTGTGAATACAGAAAATTCTTATTAGAAGACTCACTTATTAAAATCAGGTATACAATTCGGGTCGATCCGGATTAATCAAAGTGAAGTATTAGGAACCGGGAAGACAAAAAAAAAACATCTTGTGACTAACATTAGCACCTTTGCAACACAAAAGAAAAGGTTGATGGCATGCCATGAATATTGCTGTCTATTATGTATGCATGCCTTCCATGTCCATATCCTATCTCTTTTCATTGTCCAAAGTGCTTGTGCTTAGGGATTTGATCGATTCCCTAATTTATTATCCCTATACACGCATGCATATGCATGCATGTTTATATTGTTTTAGGATCGATAAGAAAATCATGTCCAAAAATTATTAAGGAGTCGGGATAAAAATATAAATTATTATCGGTTTAAATTTAAAAAATATTTGAAAGGTCTAAATCGAATTACTAATTTTTTATGAGGGTCCAGAATCACAATTTCATTATTATCCAAGGGCCCCTAAATCCTAAGGTTTGGAATATATATGGGCGGCGCGCAAGATAAAAGCATTCATGCATTGAATAATCCGTGGTCATTTTATTTATAGTAATTTTCAGCGTGTCAGTCATAGGATCATCATGGTTATTTGTAGACCGAAACATATCAAAGTCTTGTCTTTACGTTATAGTTGACTAAAAGCTTGTGTTTAAAGCATGCGAATTAGTCGGAAGCTCTAGTTAGAGAAATTTTCGGAGGTCATCTATGGAAATATAACAATATGATTTTTTAATCTAAATTTTATTTTAATTTTAAACTCACAACATATAAGTTTTGTTTGAATATAGATCGTTTCATTCTCTCGTACTAGTCTATCACTTTAAATTTTACCTAAAGCGCTTAATTCATAAAAACCCCAACCTTAAACTCAAAGTTCGTGAAACCACAAATCATTTCGATCTATAATATATAACATCCAATCAGCGTGGAATCAAGACATACAACTCGCTTCCTCGTTCTCCACCTCTCCACCGTTTAGATTTGGAAGAAGATTCTTCGTGATCGAAAAATCAAATAAAATTTGAAATTAGGAGCTTTTTCGCAAAAAATGAAGAAATTTTTAGGTCAATCCATAATTTTTAAAAGAAAATTGTCTAATTATAACACCATAAAGATCATTGTATAATAAATTGACCGTAATTCAAATGACAGTTAGGAGTGTTAGGTATGACTCATAAATATACCGGTAAAGAGGACAGAGGATGGAGCGGAGTGAGCGAACTTTTATAATAAATAAACCCTGATACATATTTACAAAAAATAACCTATGAGATATTGAATGAAAAACTAACGCCGCCTAAGGCACTGAGGATGTAAGCACATTGTTGAACCTCGTTAAAATTCTTGTGTTTTTTCTTTTTCTTTACCCGATTATTCAACAAGGAGTTAGGACAAACGATCATTAAAGATAATTAAAAAGATTCTAAATAGATATAATCATCTCAAATTATTAAAAAAATAATTAATCATGATCTAATGTTATTTTTTATTAGAATTGATATTTAATTTAAAAAAAACTAAATTCCTAAAATTAAAAATAAAACTAAATTCGAAATGTATAAAAAAATACAGGGATTTAAATCACATATTAACCAAAGGAAGTGAGTCTTATTTTTTATGGTTAGAAAACCATATGATATGAATTAATATAACAGATGAAACGTGGATCAGATACGATTATTTATACTAAGCATCCTTTGACTAACCAATGTTAGGATTTTGGGAACCAATTCCTGCCTACCTTTTAGAAACCTCATATTCTCCGAACCCGAAAAATCGACCATGTGGAATAATCACGTTACGTCCGTATTTGTTTTTCTTAACCTTATCGATATATTAAATAATCTTACTAAAATCAATCAATCGTATCGTTATCTGTGAGTTTTTTTCTTAAAAATTGAGTGTGATTTCAGATCGAATAAATTTTTCTAAAACTTAAATCAAATTAGATAACAAGTAAGAAATATTATACTTAGATCAAATTCAGATTAAAAAAAACTAGCTTGATTGAACCTATAATTATCCCTAATTTTAAATCTCCAAAGTTTTTGTTTGGACACGTTGAGCAACACTCAAAAAGTAAGGAACGTTTGAGGTTGCTGTTTAAGTCATGTTGTCAACTCAAACTAAATTAACCAAGAAAATTAAAGAAGAAGATAAAAAGCTAAGCTTGACCAACGAATCACAACTTGGTCAAGGTGGGCACCTGCCCACTCTGAAATTCGAATTTTCTTCGATTAATTACTTATTTTATTGATTGTGTTTACCATGAAATTTTTCGTGCCTACCTTGAAATATGTGTCTTTGATTAGTTATTTATTTTACTGACAGTGCCCACCCTAAAATCTTATTTGTATTTATCTCATTTAAAAACTTTATACTATTAACGTATGTACCCTCCTAAATAGATATTTTTGGATCTTTCACTGCAACGAATAGTCGGATGTTGGATGTCTCCCGAGTATATATATTCGATTTCTTTTCGAAGAAAAATAATATTGAGGGTACGTTTGGTTCACAGAATGTAAGATTACCAGTGGGAATGTAAGATTACCATAGAATAGGATTACTGGGAATGTTGTATTTTGTGCTTGGTTGGTTTAGCAGGAATGTAAGATTACCGTATTTGGTTAAAGGAATAAAAGATTATTGGAATGTATATTTGACCAAATTGTCCTTATTATATATTTATTTTTTTAACAAGTTAGAAAATATTTATATATTTTCTTTAAAAAATTTAAATTCATAAAATTTATATATATATTTTTACAAAATTTAAAAATATAAAAAAGTTTAATGAAAGAGTAAAATTTTATTTTAACCCCTGAACTTCATATAAAATTTTAATTATAGACTTTTTTTTGTAAATCTAAAATAGTTTAAGGATAAATTTGTAATTTAACATTTGTAGAATTTTTATTATTCAATGACAGAATAAGGATATTTTAAAGAAAAAAAATTTAAGGGCATTTTAGTCCAAAACGCCGGTAATCCAACAATACCTAAGAAAAGGGAGGCAATGACATTTCTAGTAATATACCAAAAAAATCCACTATTGGTAATGTAATATTACCGGGAATAACATTCCCGGCCAACCAAACGGGGTAATATGGATTTCATTTCCATGGGAATCTTACATTCTCCCAACCAAACACACCCTGAGAGAATTTTAATTTCGTTTAAAGAAATTAATTTGATTTAGATATAGTTAAAGAAAAAAGATATAGTGAAGTTATATATTACTATTGGATAACACCTTTCAAGTAATATATACAAATCACTAAATTTAGGGTTTAATTTGTTGTAATCATTGAATTATAAAAAATAATCATTTTTATCATCAGGTTGTAAGATTGTTAATGATGGCTACGGGCGTTCGTGAAAAACAATTATGAAGTATAAATATGTAGTTGACGATGGTAGGGATGTAGTTAAAGTCCATTGACGAAGATAAATACATTAAAACGCTACTGTCCCCCACCATTTTTCTCTTTCAGGTACGAAACAGTGAAAACCTAATAGCTATGGTGTATTAGACCTCCCTCTTACATTCTCATAAACAACAAAAAAGTGGTACACCTTGTTGCCCTAAAGAGAAGAGAATTTGGGTTTCTTTTTGGTTTACTAATAAAAATATTGCAGTAATGGGGAGAGGGAAAGTGGAGTTGAAGAGGATCGAGAACAAGATAAACCGACAAGTAACTTTTGCCAAGAGGAGGAATGGGTTGCTGAAAAAGGCTTACGAGCTCTCGATTCTCTGCGATGCCGAGGTTGCTCTCATCATCTTCTCCAATCGTGGCAAGCTCTATGAGTTTTGCAGCACTTCTAGGTATATATAATCTGGTTTTTCCTTGGAAAATCTCAATCTGGTTTATCTGCTTTTCTTTGCCTTTTGTCTATGTTTTCGTTTTCGTTTTCGTTTGTTGTTGCTGTTTGATTTTAAGTGATAGGTTTGAATCAGTTTAGTGTTTCATCATCATCTTCTTCTTCATGGATATGCTTCCTTTAATTAATCTGGGATAACTACAAAGCAGTATTTGATCTAAGATAATTTTCGATCATTTGACACTCATATACCTGCATTCATGACTTAAAAGAATAACAATAATTTTTTGATCATCGAGGTCCGTCGATTCGTGCTTCATGCATATGTTTATTTCATGGAATTAGTGCAGATTGTTTTCATAGGAAAGTTTGCCCTTTTAGCGTTTGAAGTTGTTGTTCTGGTTTGGGAGGGATGATTATGGGTGTTGGGAAATGTAAAATGGTGCTGTCGTCTTTGTATCAGTGAATTGGCCTGGTTACCTTAAAACGTTGTAATCCTATGCAGCTTTACCAAAAGACATTCAACACATGTACACATCGATATGGAACATGTTTAAGGACAATATCTTTTACTGTTCTTGACACGGTTACACGTATAATGCATTGTCTGGACAATATCTTTGACTGCTCTTCACACTTTTCCATGTATAATGCATTGTCCTCTTGTTGTTATGCCCTGTGTGTTCACAAATCTTTGTCTTGCAGTATCTATATTCTTCTCTGATGCATTAAATTTTTCTTTTGAAACTTGGTAGAGTTAATTATGAAATTTATGTCTCGAGTCGAGTGTTAAAGAGTTCAATATTCTTTAAATAAAATTTTAGACTCAAGTATTGACCCATTTTGTATCGTTGGAATAGAGAAAATAAGACGGTTGAGATTAATTGACTAATTCAGATCAGGTAACGTAGAAGTCTACTATGAGGATTATAATTCTAATCTAATTTACTTCATTTATAATACCAACATTTAAATCTCTAAACTTATTTATAGAATTTAACGTCTCATCCTCTTGAATCGACTTATAGTTGGTACTTTGACGGAGATTTTTATTAGAGTTAGATGAGTTTCTTCACTCTCTTCTCTATCTATAAACCCTACCTTAAATTTCAAAATCAAAGAGAGGAAATGAAGAATTTTATCAAGGATAAAGTAGCCAAAAGTTGCCCCAATAAAGGGTAGTATAAAAGTAAAAGATAAGAGACACAAAACACAAAAGCAAATTCTTACAAGACAAAGGAATATATCCATACTTTGTGCTTTTTGTCTCGAGTGATTAGCCAAGCATATAGTTTTGTAATAATCTAAAAGTTTGATGAAGCAAAGGTTCTTGAAACGTCGAGTTCTTGAGTTTCTAATATAATTTTTTAAGTTAACACCACCAACACAAAATACTGTGTCGGTCGGATTTGTCATATTATACTAATTAACCTCCTTTCTTTGAATGTTTTATGTGCAAGCAGCATGGCTAAGATACTTGAGAAGTACAACAGCTACACCTATGGAGCATTGGAACCTGGTCAATCAGAAATTGACTCTCAGGTGAATTTAATTAATCTCTTCTGTTTCAGCATTTTTTAACAATCTGACATTGAACACTCATCCCTGGTATTCTTGGTGCTCGAATTGAGACCTCTAAAAATAACAACTACTTTACTATTGAGGTCACTCGGTTCGTGCATCTCTAAAAAAATATCTAAAAGTGCTGATGCGTGTTGTCAAGCAGAGCAAGTACCAGGAGTATCTGAAGCTGAAAGCAAAGGTTGAGGCCCTTCAGCATTTACAGAGGTGAATTAAACCGTCTCTCTCGTTCATATTTGTTCATAAAATAAGTTGCTTGCTGTTCATGTGGGAAATATGTACTTTTGTGATGTGTAGACATTGTCATGGTGAGAATTTAGGTGACTTGGGCACCAAGGAACTGGAGCAGATTGAGCACCAGTTGGACTTCTCATTGAGGAAAATCAGGTCTAGAAAGGTAATCAAAATCAACTTTTTTCCATTCAATTAGATGATTTAGGTCACAAAACAGTATCTTAGTTTCCTCTTTCATGAATGCAGATGCAGACGATGATCGACCAACTTTCCGAACTGCAAACAAAGGTATGTTAATATATTTTACCGAATATAGGATCGAGCAAACCGCCATTGATATGTTCTTTATACAGGAAGAAGCCCTACTGGAAACCAACCGAAACTTGAGAAGGAAGGTAAAATAAAATCTTCAAAATCGTTAATATTTGACGTCTGATATCGACTGTAATCGATCTTAATAGCAATACTTTGGCAGCTGGAGGGAAGTAGTTCAGTGTTTCCATCGACGTGGGAAACCGGGGAGCAAAGCGTTCCATACAACCATCCGCAGCCAGTGCCGCCACCGCCGCAGTCGGATGGATTTTTCGAGCTGCAAATGGGGTATGTATTTTGATTTCTTTGCTGATTATGTCAATTATGTACTTATGAAATTTGTTTTGCTTGGTGCAGTTATAATCCTAGTACTATAACAGATGAGGATACTGCTACAGGCTCTGCAGTTGCACCCAGTGGGTTCATCCCTGGTTGGATGCTTTGATTGTTTGAGGTTTAATTAAATGGATTCTATATTTTCTCACATGAAGTGATTAGAAATCAAGAAACCGAGACTAGTTTCTGCAGATTCCATGTTTCAACCTATATTTTGTTGTATCTCTTTTGGCTGATGCATCATGCATGCATGCATGCATAGTTTGAAGTGTGGGGCGAAGCTCCAATAATGTAAAAATACCAAGTGTTTACTCTAACACACTCCCGTGCTTTGTTCGATAAAAGGTGAACAAAATTTGATTCGATTCGAAAAAAATAGATTTTTTCGACTCTACGTTGAAAACCGATAATGTAAAGGCTCATCATCTTCTACCCCATAATGTTTTCTGGTATATAATATGTCCAACTACAAGGTCACCAATGAACCACGATGTAGTCACTGAAAAAGTAGTGCAGTTTGTGGTTTAAGTGGAAGGTTCTTGTCATTTCAAACTTAAAGCAAAGATCTTCCATATCTGGTGTAGGGAGAGAATATCTGATGCAAAGGCGCAACTAAAGTGGAAATTTAGGATGAAATTAAACTTTTGTCACCTTCAATTTAGTACTTAAATTATCAGTTTTAGTGTAAATTGGTACCTAAACTTTTAATTTTTTAAAATCGTAAATAAATTTTAGTTTTTGTATCGTTTTAGTATCCTTTCAAAATTTAACGTTAGGTTTTGAAAAAAAAATGAAGTTTAGGTACTAAAACGGATCAAAACTGATAGTTTATGTACTAAACGCGTCAAGTTTTTAATGGAGGTACTGAAATGAAACGAAAACTAAACGTTAGACATGATTTTGAAAGAAAAAAAAGTTTAGGTACTAAAACGTGTCAAAACTGATAGTTTAGATACTAAATACGTAGTTCATCCTTAATTTTAAAATTAGATAAATTCTTATCTTATTTTTAATTGAAATAATTCTTAAATCCTTATAATTTTGTAATTTGTCTAATGAGATAAAATTTGTCATTTTAAAATTAACAACTAGAATCTGATCCCACTTTTCTACTCTTGTGGCCCTTGAACTTTCATCATGATTCCTTTTAATTGTCATCAATATTTATATATAAATGTGTTAGAGTTTGTAACATAAATTATAAGAGTCGTGTCTCATAAAATCTTAAGATTTATAGAATAATTTTTTAAATTATACTTAAATTCATAATGTTCCAAAATTTATATGGTGAGTAATTACTGGACAGACGGATATGAAATAAACGGATGCGAGGTGGTAGATGAGGGGTGGGTATGATCTCAAACCCATCACCTACCCACTACTCGCAACGGCTATGATCTTTACATTCATACCAGCTCACTACCCACGAAATTTATATCCATCACCGTCTCAATTAGAACGGATTCAATACGAAATCCATGAAATTATTCTCATCTACTATCCTACGAGACGGTTTAAGGTATTACAAAGTTTAAAATTTATTCGAAATTCTTATAACTAACGAACAACCTCATAAAAAACGAGAGTACAGTTCTTTTTTTTCTCTCCTTTTTTTATTTTGATTAAACGACGTTACATTTCATATTTTCCAAATGAACTTGCTTTCCCCCCCAAGGGTGAGAACATGAAGACCAAAAACAGTGAATATCATCGTGTTCTAGATAGGGATGGCAACTCAACTCGAATCCGACGGGTTCCGACTCGATCGGGTCAGATTTTTTTTAAAAAATTTCGGGTTCGGGTCGGGTTTAGGGTAAAAAAAATCCGACCCGACCCGACCCGAAAAATATATATAATTTTATCTTATATATTTAGGGATAATTACAATAATATCCCTCCATATATAATTTTTTTAATTAAGTCACTGTTTTCATTGAATTAATTTTTTTTTTTATTTCGGGTCGGGTCGGGTCGGGTCGGGTTTCTAAGTCATATATTCGGGTCGGGTCAGGTCGGGTGAAACATTAATTTTGTCGGGTCGGGTCAGGTCACGGGTGGAGAACCCTTTCTTCTCGGGTCGGGTCGGGTGGCCCAAAAACCCGACCTGACCCGACCCATTGCCATCCCTAGTTCCAGCTAAAGCCTAGCAATTGCTTTGTCCACTGCCACAGCCGCACGTGTGTGTAAAGTCACTGTGACAATGGAAATACACACGCATATATATATATATATATATATATATATAGGTCATGATCTGTTTCTACTATATAAAACTAATAAGTTTTACACAAATTTATAACCGCTAGATTCAAATAAATAAATGACTTTGATTTAAGTATAATTTATAACTCATAAATAAATACATTTTAACTCACAGTGAAATATTATCTCTTTTTATTTCAATCTCAAACCTTAAACCTTAAAATTTAAACCTTAAACTCAACTCATATATTTTAAACCCCAAATTCAAAACCTTAAACCCATATCATAAACCCTAAAATCTAACCCTAAAAAATATTATTTTATTTTGATCACCTTCTCATTTTCACTGTTAATTTTAGTTTTTAATTTTTTTCATCCAATAATTTTAAAAAGGCGTAAAACTAAGTGAATCCTTACCATATATATATATATATATATATATATTGTAATTGGCTTCGAATTTGAACCCACGAGGGTGAGACTCCATTGGTTTGGCTTTATAGGTTACCATTGTCGAGACATTCTTTTAAAATCTAAGGGTGCCGATTAAAAAAATCAGGATTTTGTAAAAATGTTTGCCCCAAATAATTCGGGACTCGAGTTTAAAATAATAATAAAATTGGTTTGTGGAGTCGCCGTTAATATTTGATTAGGGTGTTACTGGGCACTCAAAAAATATTTGTCGTTTTAATAAAAAATATTAATTTTAATTGAAACAACAATTTCACGGTTTGTGTTACAAAAAATTTAAGTTCGAGAGTCGGTTACACGTGGGGAAGGATTAGCACCCCACAACGTTCTAAATCGGTACCTAATTAATTAATTAGTTGTCTTTGCAATAAAACTTACAAATTTGAATTTAATTTAAGTTGAAATCCCTTTAAATAACCCTTTGAATTTTATGACGAAAAACTGTAATATTTAATTATTTCATATCGAGAAGAAAAGACATCTCATACCTTAAAACAATCAGTTCTTACTCCAATCGAAATGAATAAATATTACTATTTCATTCTAAAGTTCATTATTAATTCGAATGCACGAATGATGATAAAAATAAAGATTAAATACATATTATCAATTCTTTAAGAAAGAATAAGGATGTTCGATTATTTAAAGACGTCGATATCAGACCTTTTATAAGTTCTAACGATCATTTCTCGATAAATTTAAATAGATGAATATTTCTTTTTCTCTCGTTCCCAAATTTTACGCTAAGTCAGTTTTTAAGGTTTCACTTAATAAGATACACTTTCATTTTAAAATTATCGAAAGTGATTTTCTTATACGTTAAGACAATCACTTCACAATGACCTTAAAATGAAATGATATTACTCTTAATCCAATTATTTGGCCGAATGAAGTTATGCATATGAAGGTATCATACATTTTACATGCAAGAATGATGTCATGTGACCAACATGTATTAACACATATGGAAAAAAATAGCTACCACATAGAATAAGATATTTAAATACATTTAATAAAATAATATAAGCTTATACACACGTTATAAGATACGATATATGCACGATTCATATTTACAAAATAACATAAATAAACTATATGAAGTATATACATGTATTAGAAAGTGAAAACATAAATATAAAACTATGCATGCCACATACCTACATATAATACAATAAAATATATAATACATAACCATATATAACATCATGTAAATAATGTACCATTAAAATACAATATTACATGGGTATACCTATATGTGGTATAATATTTACGTACGTGTAATATAATTTATAAATATTATGAATATAAGGTAGCATGCATATACCTAATTGAAAAACATTGACCAAATAAAGACAATATACCTAAAGGCTAAATACACCAAGTTTAGTATTAAACCAAGGACAAGAATGAATGAAATTATACTGAACATATTTAAATCTAGAAACAAAACAAACGTGAACAACACTGCAATATCGGAGTAAATCGAACAAGAAATAAATAAGGAAGTTAAAGTATGAAAATTTTCAAATTACAAGGTCAAATCACAAACGAGCAAACACATTTAAGGACGAAAATTAAATGATTACGACATTCATGGCTCAAATTAATAAAGATAAAACTAAAATAGGGACCAATATGAGAGTATTTAGAATTACATGCTGAAAATTACAATAAGTAAAAGGCCAACAAGTCAAGGTGACTAAAATACAACACACAAAAAAGAAAAAGGAAAAATCAGAAACTAAAAAACTTCGAACAAGGACTAAATCTAAGAAAACTAAAGTAATAGGGGTTAAACACATAAATAATCCATAACAATTAAAGCAGTGACTAAAATGAAACACGCGTAAAATTTAAAGGCCAGATTAAAAGAAAACAAACTTTCAAATAGTGAATGAAACACAAAGCTTACAAAAGTAGAGGTCATTTTTACGTGATTAGCCCATGCGCGAATTCAGAAAATCCTAGCCCTCAAAACTACGTCGTTTTAGATAAACTATATAATCCCCTTTTAAACATTTCTTCCTCATTTTTCTCATTTTTTTCTCTCTCTCTCCCTATTCTTTATTCTCTTAGCAAAATCTGACGAGGGCTCTCACCGACTACCGTGACGGCCATTTTCGGCCACTGTGGGTCGTTGTCTTCCGATGAATTTTTGAGCCCTGATTACACTGATGGCTTCGTCTCGAGGCCTTGAGCACGAATATGGGCTCAATTTTCCCAAAAAACATCCCTAGCTCCGCAAATATGTCGAAAATCGGTTGACTTTCAATCTATCTAATCTCCTTATCCGACCGTCGGATCGCCTTGACTTCGGAGTATGTTACTCCCTTCTCTCATGCGCTCCTCCTCACCATCCCGATCCTTGATCGGACGCTCCGAACACCAGCGGAGAACTTCAACCAAAGGTAAGCACCCTTTCCATTCTTTTTTTCTTTTTCGATCTTTTTTCCTTCTGATTGTTTCTCTCGAATCCTCCTCAGATTTTTTTTTCGGTTTCTCCTTCTAAAAAACCTCC